AGAGCTACTCTTTTGTATAAAATATCTAAGAGCAGGCATTTGATGCAGCAGTTAAGTCATGGCCTAGGACATCCACATCCCATATTGAAGTTCCTGGGTTGAGTCCCAGCTCTGCTTCCAATTCAGCTTCCTGCTAATGCTCACCATGGGAGGCAGTTGGCGATTGCTCAAGTGCTTGGGTCCCTGCCACCCACAAGGAAGACCAGGATTGAGTTCTAGGCTCCTGGATTTGGTCTGGCCCAGTCCTGGCTATTGTGAGCATTTGGGGAATGAATCAGCAGAGGGAAGATGTGTGTGTGTATGTGTGTGTTTTTCTGTCTATGCCTTCCAAACTAATTAATCAATTAAATTATTTTTTTAACTTTTATTTAATGAATATAAATTTCCAAAGTATGATTTATGGATTACAATGGCTTCCCCCACATACCGTCCCTCCCACCCACAACCCTCCCCTTTCCCACTCCCTCTCCCCTTCCATTCACATCAAGATTCATTTTCGATTATCTTAATATACAGAAGATCAGCTTAGTATACATTAAGTAAGGATTTCAACAGTTTGCTCCCACACAGAAATATAAAGTGAAAAATAATAGATGATTTTTTTTAAATGATGATGAAATCAGAGCAGACCTATTGTCATGTTTAATCCCAGTGAGAGTCAAGTTGGGAGTTGATAATTTCTTTCTTTCTTTCTTTTTTTTTTTTTTTTACAGAGGATCAGTTTAGTATACATTAAGTAAAGATTTCAACAGTTTGCACCCCCATAGAAACACAAAGTGAAATATATTGTTTGAGTACTCGTTATAGCATTAAATCTCAATGTACAGCACATTAAGGACAGAGATCCTACATGAGGAGTAAGTGCACAGTGACTCCTGTTGTTGACTTCACCAATTGACACTCCTGTCTATGGCATCAGTAGTCTCCCTATGCTTCAGTCATGAGTTTCCAAGGCTATGGAAGCCCTCTGAGTTCTCCGATTCTTATCTTGTTTAGACAAGGTCATAGTCAAAGTGGAGGTTCTCTCCTCCCTTCAGAGAAAGGTACCTCCTTCTTTGAAGACCTGTTCTTTCCACTGGGATCTCACTCGCAGAGATCTTTTGCCAGAGTGTCTTGGCTTTCCATGCCTGAAATACTCTCATGGGCTAATTAATCAATTAAATTATTAAAAAAAAAGTATACCTAGAAAAGGAGGTACATCCATCCAGGTTCACTCACAAGGTGAAAGAAGACCTATATAGAGTTTACTGGCAAGAGATTTTTGCCCACCATATATCACATATCACATCAAGGCTTTAGTCCTCAGAAGATGTTTTGGCTTACTGCCAAGTATTCTCAGCACAGAGAGTACTGTCAAGAGCAGTAGGTCTCACTGAGGAGGCTGAAAATTGAAGGTAAGCAGAGAGAAGTGAGCAGGGACAGAGGAGGGAAACTACAGGGGTGGGGAAGACAGCTTGGATGTGTAACTAGGAACATAGCCTGTGGTGAAATACACCTTGAATCTCAAGTTGAAGGGTATGGACTTGGCAATGTTAGCAGTGTATCACTGAAGTTCATTAAGCATGGACGTAGTGAATAAATGAATGACTTACAGAGCTCTAGAAAGAGTAAAAACTTTTTCTTCTGATAAAAGTTTTCCTTTAAAGAAAGACATCAAAATCACATTAAATGTCAATGTTTCAATTTCTACAACATTACTCCTTTTTCTCAGTATAACTATCAGTGTAAACTTGTATTCTTACTGTCATACATCATTTACCATACATTTGTCATCATTCTTGCCAGATACGTGTGTATGTGTGTGCCTGTGTGTGTACAGTTTATTCTATCTATAATGGTTTCTTCATCAAGCAAATGGAAAAACTGTAAGGATGACTGATACATAAAATGAAGTAGTGGCATCACTGTGAGCAGCAAAGAGCCCCAGTTCTCAAATCTGATCCAACTCTGAAAACAGAGTCCAGCGAGCAGAGAAGGTGACATCCATGTACACTAGTGGAGCAAACAGACCTGTGAGCCACAACTTCTCCCAGGCTGCCCTCCACGCCCTTCCTGGCTGAGTGCCTCTTGAGGATTTCCATAGAACTAGCATCCTTCCTATCATTACTATCATACAGCATTATTGTAAGAATTAAACAACACCAGGGCCGGCACTGTGGCGTAGCGGATAAAGCCATTGCCTGCTGTACCGGCATCCCATAAGGGTGCCAGTTCGAGTCCCGGCTGCTCCACTTCTGATCCAGCTTTCTGTTATGGCCTGGGAAAGCAGTAGAAGATGGCCCAAGTCATTGGGCCCCTGCACCCACTTGGGAGACCCAGAGGAAGCTCCTGGCTCCTGACCTCAGATCGGCACAGCTCCAAAGCTTCCTTCTCTCTTCCTCTTTGTAACTCTGCCTTTAAATAAATAACTACATCTTAAAAAAAAAAAAAAAAAAGACCATGTGAAAGGCTCCTGAAAAACTATCAATCTGCACATTGCTTTTCACTAGAATAATCAGTCCCAAACTGAGCAAGGGTAGAACCAACGGTTTGGATTCAGGCTACTGGAACGGAGCTCTAACCATGCTCTAAAGAAATGGCCACAGATTTCTTGAGACATCCATGAGGTCAAAGTTGTTATGGCCTTACCAGGTGAATACAACCATCTGCCAGGGAAGCACTTCCCCATGGCTCTCCTCTTTCCCACCCATCTTCTCTGGCTACTTATTTTCTAAGACTCACTATTAAAGATTCTCTCATGTGAGACATTTCTTATTCTTGCCACACACAGCTGACCTCTCCTCCCATTGCACTCTACAAATATCTCATTTGACACACTAGAATAGAGCCTCCTTCTTTTGGGTTTTGCTGAGATTCATCTCTGTATCTCTAGTGCTTAAATCCAGCTACAGGTGCTTGGGAAATTATTTCACTCAACTGCCAGAGCTTTCTGTCATACTGACCAAAAGCTAGAGGCCACAAAGATGCACACAGGAGAGTGCAAGGCTGAAACAACACCTTTGGAACCTCATTCTGTAGGAGAGGGAGGAGAGGAATTGTGACCACAAGGTTCTAGGGAGGCCTCTGGAGCTTGTCTGGTGAGTTAGAAGTGGTGGTATTTTTCTCTCTCATATACTACAGAGTAATTTAACCATTTGATAAGGTTGATATGGTTAATGAGTCGCATAACCATTAGTTTGTTTTTCTTCCAAAAGGTGATTTCTTTTGGAAAGCAAAGCCTGTTGAATTTATTTAATCTTTGTTGAATGTCATTAAATATTAAAGGATCTCTTCTACACAGCGTAAGTCAACAGCATTTATTTAAAGTTTCCTGGGATTATGAGGCAGAGAGCCAAGAGCTTCCCAGTAAGTTCCCTCCTCCCTCCACAATCACAGCTTCACTGTTTGGCATTCACTGAACTCTTGCAGGGACTAGTGTGAAGTTCTAGGATTGTCTTTCTCTAGTCCTTTCTGCACCCAAAATTAGTGTCTGAAAGTAGTGGTTTTATTTAAGACGTTTCTCTGGAGAATGACCAGCTGCTGGATGTGGTCCTCATTCTGTAGCCTGGACTTCAGAACCCACAGGCTGCCTTTCCAGCTTGTCTCACCTCCCACTGCTCCCAGTGTATGCTTATGCTCCAGAGGAACAAAGGTGGCTCCAGGCTTCATGCCAGCTTCTACTCCCAAATAAAGCACTGTCTCCTCCTTTGAGTCTCCAACTGTTGACACAGCTCCCCAATCAAACTCTTTCTCCATTTCCACACAGCCTTCAAGGCTCCCTGGGGGTAAACACCAGCCTCCATCTTCTCACACACAATCCCCCATGTGTTCTTTAGAAAAATCAGCCCACTCTATGGGGGACATGCTCTATATGTAGCTCCAGGGGACAGGCCCTCACTGGCTTAAACTTGTTGGCCAGATACAATAAATGGAGATGGGAACATTTATTGTCTCTTTATTGTCCATTGATTGTCTCTCCAGAGACAATAAATAGAGATGGGAACATGATCCTATAAAGGGATACAAACTCCTCTCCTCTACCTCCCACACATTCTCACCTCACTTCATGGTCCTTTAGCGTTCAGGAGGGCTTCAGTTTTTGTTACCACAAGAAGAACCACCTTGAGAGCAAAGCCATCTGAGAGGAAACAGAACTGAGAAATGGGTCCCAGAATGTCATCATGTCCTGGATTAAACTGAGCCTGAAGACAAATCTCTACTAGAGATTCAGCTGCATAAATAAATTCTACTTTTTATTAAGGTATATGTGTGTTGGTTCTGCCACTTTTGAGAAACCTGTGTCGAACATTCAATGTCTCCACCTTCTAGAAACCCTTTTGGAGCTCTCTTCACCAGGGTCCTAGATCTTCATCCTCTATTGTATATACCACAAAGAAAGAGATTTTCATTCATATACAAGGTATTCATACTTCATAAACATTAGAGGAACAAGGGTGCAAACTATAGATCCAATCAGCAAGAGGGAGGAGTTAAGTATGTTGTTGGTACAAAAATGTGTATGGGGGTCGGTGCTGTGGTATAGTGGGCTAAGCCTCCAACTGTGGCACTGGCATCCCATATGGGTGCCAGTTCAAGCCCTGGCTGCTTCTCTTCCAATCCAGCTCTCTACTATGGCCTGGGAAAGCAGTAGAAGATGGCTCAAGTCATTGGGCCCCTGCATCCATGTGGGAGATCCAGAAGAAGCTCCTGGCTCCTGGCTTTGGACTGGCCAAGCTTTGGCTATTGAAGTTACTTGGGTAAAGAACTAGTGGATAGAAGACCTTTCTCTTTGTCTCTTCCTCTTTATGTAAGTCTACCTCTCAAATAAATAAATAAAAATATTTTTTTAAATGTGTATGATTATTAAACCACCCTGCTGACTACTTTCCTTGGCTGTGGTTCTCCATGCTATCACTGTTAGTGGGAAGCTTGGAGATGCAAGTAGAGGCAGATATAGTTAAGAACTGTAACACAATAGAGTAGAAAATTAAAAGGTGTACTACATGAAAGAAGACTCATAATTGTTCTGTAAGATTTTATTTTAGTTATGTACATGCATATGCTTATATATGCATTAGGAAACACAATGTAACATGCATTTTTAGGGTATATGAAAGCCAAATATTTTTTGAAAACCTTTGATCTAGCTCCCATTTGAGACAATTCCATAATACAGAATACAAAAGAATAGAAAATGATAGAGAGGGACTTGTTTTGTAAAATTGCCTTTTCAGTCCTATAGATATGTATATACACACATATATGTACTGAGTCAAGAGTAGGAAAAGTATTTCTTACTGTAGGTTCTAACCAAAAGGTATGAAAAATACTAATGTGCCTTTTCCTGGGGCAAGATACATTATAAAGCAGTTTGATTACTTGAGCTGCAGCCAGCAGTGTGAGGGAAAGAAAGGAGGACACACAGCAACCTCAGCATCAGGAGATACCTGGGCAATCCACATCCTTATAGGCCTACTCCTGGGTTTTCAGGCTGGTAGTAAAGGATTTATCGGCAGGCCTGCTCCTAGAGCCACAGCAAACAGGGCTGGCCAAGAAAGGGCATGTGTTGCTCTAGCCTCTTTCCATACCCAACTCTACAAGATACTGAATTAAAAACCAGGCAATCAGAGGAGACAGGAGCCTTTGGAGAATGAGGAAATAGAAGAGCTAAACATTCTTAACTGCTTGCTACTCCAATGGGACTCTGAAGAGTGCTTTGCCAAGATCCTGACCTTGGAAATCAAAGCCACAGATACAAGCTACTGGAACTTGTGGCTGTGTTAATGTTTGGAGAATAACAAAAGCTAGATGTCTTTTAAAAGCAGGTAATTTGCCTTTTAGAAAAATGTTCTCATGTTTTAAATTGTTCATCTCTTATCTTCTGTATTTATTTTTAGTTGTTTTGTTCTCTAACTGTTTAGCACTTACAGAATGTTATATTCTTTCACTAATGTGAGCTTATTTTTAATCTTCCTTTAAAATGTTTCAGCTACCTGGATTACTCTTTATTTTCAATTTAATTTTTCCTTCTATTATTTTCACTTGAAAAGAGTTTTGTTTCCAATTTGTAATTTACTTTATTCATAAGTATATCCTTTAGAGTCTTAGCTTCTCATTTTAACATCTAAATTTTTATTCCCCTTATCTCATTTTTCCCTGTTTTTATTTTTAATTTCAGAGCCAGGAAAAACTACCCGGACCAGAAGAATCAGGGCTTTTTAAAACAAAGTCAGTTGATGAGACTGGTGGGTGGTTTCAATCTATGAAGTCACTTCAGATAGTTCATGGAGGGGCAGGATTTTGGTCTGCGGGTTAAGATGTCATTTAGGATATCTAGGATCCCTATTGGAGTATCTGCGTTCTATTCCTGGCTCTAGCCCCTGAATGGAGCTGTCCAATAATGCAGACCCTGGGAGGCAGCAGGTGAAAGCTGAAGTAATTGTATCCCTGTTACCATTTGAGAGACTTAGACTGAGTATGGGGCTCCTAGCTTAAGCCACAGCCCAGCCTCATCAATTGCAGGCATTTGGGGGGTAAACCAGTACAAGGGAGTGCTCTCTTTTTCTTGAATGAAAACTAGCTAAAAATATGCATAAAATTGCTTTTTTGGGGGAATAAAAACCTTTGAAATCTATATATAGTTTCTTAAACAATGCTAATTTTCTAGGAATTTTTGAAGACATCTCGTATATGATAGTTGTGTGCATCACCAGGCCAATGCCACGGGCCAGAACCATGTCAGAGGTGGTGCCCCATTCATCTTGCAACCTTCAGTTGATATCCCCAGGGAGGCCTTCTGAATGAGATGGCAAAGAATGGGCTCTGACTCTTTTGGGGTAGGGGTACAGGGTGGGCTTCTTCTTTTTAAAGAAGAATAATCTGAACAATAAAAATTATTGTGAGGGGTCAGCCCTGTGCTGTAGTAAGTTATGCCTCCCTCTGCAGTACTACAGGCATCCTATATGGGCACTGGTTCTCCCAACTGTTCCACTTCCCATCCAGCTCCCTGAAGATTGCCTGGGAAAGCAGTGGAAGATGGCCCAAGTGCTTGGGCCCCTGCACCCACTTGGGAGACCCAGAGGAAGCTCCTGTATCCTGGCCTCCAATTGGCCCAGCTCTGGCTATTGAAGCAATTTCAGGAGTGAACCAGCAGATAGAAGACCTCTCTCTCTCTCTCTGTGTCTCTTCCTCTCTCTGTTTCTCCCTATCTCGGTCTCTAACTCTACCTCTCAAATAAATAAACAAACCTTTAAAAAATGAATGTGAACAAGGATGTCACCTCTTACTGCCATCTGGTTTCTGTAAGAAGCTGTATCTGTCAAAGTCCAATCAGGAGACATGCATCACACGGTGATTTAAGCAAGACATTAGAGGGATGGAGGATTTACCAGCAAGAGATAAAAAGAACTCAAAGCAGAGAGGAGAGGCATGCGTCATGGCACAGCTGGTTAACCCCTTATCTACAACACCAGCATCGCATATGGGTACTGATTTGAGTTCCAGCTGCTCCACTTCTAATCCAATCTACTAATGTACCTGGGAAGGCAGCAGAAGATGGCTCAAGTGCTTGGACCACTGCACCAACTTTGGAGACTTAGACAGAGTTCCAGGCTCTTGGCATTGCCTGGCCCAGCCCCAGGCTATTGCGGCCATTTGGGGAGTAAACCAGCAAATGAAAGAAATCTCTCTCTTTAGCTTTCCCTCTCTATGTCTCTCTCTCTGTAGCTCAGCCTTTCAGATAAAATAAGTAAATCTTTCAAAAACTGAGAGGTGGCAACCCCTATGACTGAGAAAAAACACAAGGGAGAGACCTTCTCACTCCATGGGCTGAGGTCCAGACATCTTTGGAGAAGGCATAGTGAAGTTCACTGGATGGCAGATACGTTCAGTGGGATTTGGTAGAAAGCTTATTTCAAGGAGGAGCCATGTCTCAAAAACTTACTGAAAAGTCACCTGGAGGGGAGTGGGGAATACTGGTCAGGGGGAAGTGTCCAGCCAGTAGCACTCCATGATGTAGATGGCCAAGGAGGGGTGCAGTTGCCCACCAACTGCATTTCACTGCAAAGCTGCTGAGGCTAGATTGCCCAAGGCAGCCATTCATAAGGAGATGCCTTGCTGGTAGCCCTTCCTTATGAAGCTGCCTACAGGAGGATGGGCTGTGCTACCAGGTGTTGGGCACTGCAAGAACCACACTCTCATGCACACATGTATGTGCACATACACACACACACTGCAAGAGGAGGATACCAGGAACAGGAAGAGAAGATTCATCTACCAGCAACCCTCCTCCAGCATGCTCTAGTGACAAAGCTAACATCAGGTTCACTCTGAAGATATCCTTAAAGGGTTCAATTCCATTCCCATAGAACAGCAAGGAGTGATGTGGAGCTGAAAGATAAGGAATCAGTAACTGGAACAGTGGATTCCTTTGGCTACTCTATCACCGTTCTTCATACAGTTGAATTCTATACAATGAAAGAATGCTGTATATCGACCCAACAAAATATCCCTATTCTTTAATGAAGAAACCAAAATAAGGAAGTGCATTTACCCAACATTCACTGAATCTGCTGTTCCACTGAATATTGTCTTTAGATCATATCAGGGGCCAGCATTGTGGTACAGTGAGATGAGCTACTGCCTAGGATGCCGGCATCTCCTATGAGTGCTGGTTTAAGTCCTGGCAGCTTCATTTCTGATCCAGCTCTCTGCTAATGCACATGGGAAAGCATTAGAAGATAGCCCAAGCACTTGGGCTCCTGCAACCCATGTAAGAGACCCAGAGGAAGCTCCTGGCTCCTGGCTTTAGCTTGCCCCAGCCCTGGCTATTGTGGCCACCTAGGGAATAAACCAAGAGATGGAAGATCTTTCTGTCCCTCTCTGTCTCTAACTCTCTCCTTATAACTCTATCTTTCAAATAAATAAAATAATTTTTTAAAAAAGACTCTGTCAGATAGAAAGTAGAAAATATACCCATTATAGAGTGAACATATGGCTACAAAGCAATTTTTAAAAATTTTGTCATGTAACTATATTGAAATCCTCCAGAGAAAACTTACATAAACTTCTAATACTGGACATATAAGAAACAACTTAGAAAAAAACCTTTCCAAATGGGCCATCAAAGAAGGAGGTACCTTGCTATGAAGGGAGGAGAGAACTTCCACTTTGACTGTGGCCTTGTCTCTTGAGTTGGTGAACTCAAGAGGCTTCCATAGCCTTGGCAGCTCATGACAAGAGCCTCGGTGATTACTGACGTCATAAATAACAGTGTCAATTGTTAAATCAACAAAAGGAGTCACTGTGCACTTACTCCCCATGTAGGATTTCTATCCTTAAAGTGTTGTACTATGAAAATCAACGGTAAAACTATTACTAAAACAGTACTCTATACATTGTGTGTTTGGGTGCAAACTGTTGAAATCTTTACTTAATAAATACTAAGTAGATCTTCTGTAAATAAAGAAAATTAAAAATGAATCTTGATGAAGAATGGGATGGGAGAGTGAGTGGGAGATGGGATGGTTGCGGGTGGGAGGGAGGTTATGGGGGAAAAAGCCGCTATAATCCAAAAGTTGTACTTTCGAAATTTATATTTATTAAATAAAAGCTTAAAAAAAAGAAAAACCTTTTCATTGTGGCAGAGCAGGTTAAGCCATTATATGCAATACCAGCATCCCATAAAAGCACTGGTTCAAGTCCCAGCTGATCTGCTTTCTGTCCAGCTCCCTGCCAATGTGCCTGGGAAAAGCAGCAGAAGATGGCCAAGTACTTGGGCCACTGTCACCTACCTGGGAGACCTGGATGGAGTTCTAGGCTCTAGACTCCTGGCTTTTGTGTGGCCCAGTCCTGACCATTGTGGCCATTTGGGGAGTGCACTAGTGGATGGGAGATCTCTCTCTTTGTCTCTCCCTCTCTCTTTGGAACCCTGACTTTCAAATAGATATATATTTTAACAAAAGGAAAATAAACTTTCCAAATGTGTTTTTTAACAACAAGAAGAGAATACACATATAAATCAAGAGACCAAGAAAATATCATGACAGGATCAAAGATGGCTGAAGAGTGAGAAACTGCACTCATCTCAGCCACAGAGAAATTCCAGAAAAACATAGCGAGGATTGTGTTCAGAGGGAACTGAGAGAAATTTCCAGCAAAGAAGTGGTCTCTATAAGACAGCAAAGAGAGAGGACAGACATAGCATTGCCACCAGCTGCCACAGCACCTACTCCACCAGCTTTCAGACAGGGAACATGTTGGGAAGAGGTAAGAAGGTGCTGTGGCTCCCACCACTGGCAGTCCTGTGTCAGAATTCCATGGTCCCCACTAACTTCAAGTCTAGCCTAGGGAACTGGTTGGTGTCTAAGCTCTACATAGGAAAGCCAAATGTTCCCTCCCTGCTAAAGTGCCAGCCTCAATTCACTATGGTAGATTCACCACTGAACTCTGTTCTAGTGGACAGCGAGCAGTTCTGCTGCTACCAAAAGCCACTAGTGCCAGAACAGGGTGCTTTTCAGAGCACCCTGTGGCCTGTGACTGTGAGAATTCTAGGGATAAGACCCTGGGCTTGAGCTCACTCCCTATGTGTTATTCAGGGGGTTTCCTCTTGGTTTCTTGGCATTAGCACCAGGAGCAGCTTAGATAAAATTCAAGAGGATGAGACTGGAGGAAGTTACCTCTGCACCTCCTAGATTACAGTGCTGGGAACCCAAGGCACAAACACCAGCCAGCATCACCCTTGCATGTCATGTGGGAACTGGGAGACATTTCCATCAGTGCCTTACAGAGCTGGTATTGCTGATGTTGGTATTACAATCTCTGGAGTAACTCATACTCACTTGAGGTATCTGGAGAGCTCTATCTGAGATGCTATTTCAGGCAAGTAACTACCACCATTCCCAACACAACTGACTGTAATCCTGGGAGACGTAGGTAATGACCCCACAGCATTCCACAGGACCAGGACTGTTAGAATTATTATTAATTTCCTCAGATGCATCAACATTTACCCTGTGAGACCCAGGGAAAAATCTGCTGCATTTCACCTGTCCAGACTCATACTTGCCAGTGCACAATCTCCAGGATAACTTGCAGTTACCATGTAGATCCACAGCAGGGTCCCCATTCCACATTGCTAAGTTCTGGAAGTAAGGGCTTTTGGTGCTATAAAACCCAGCACCTGTCTCTCAGCAGAACCTAGAGAAGGTCCTATCTACTTCACACAGTTCTAGAGCCATGGATATTGGTGCAAAAAGCCCCACATCACTCAGGTCTGCCCAGTGGGACAAGGGACACAATGTTGGTGTCTCTCAGCATCAAAAACAAGGCTCAGGTTATTATAAATTTGAGTGTGACCGATACCGAACTTTCTGAAGACTGAAGATATACACCTTAAGAAGTCCGCCTCTACTTCAAAGATGTATTTAGACCTCCATGCACTGCTGCAGAATAGACAACTCTGTTACTTATAGACACTGCTGACATTGGTTAAAGCAAAACAAATCACTCAGAGGTTACACTTCTAGGCTCACCTAGAACCAAAGCCAAAGCAACAACAAACCAAGTGATACCCTGCATCCCACATTAAAAAAATAAAAAAACTTTCCTAACAAAACGTACTCCATAAAGAAGGGACTATTACACCAGAAGCAGAGATGTCAACATGGGAACATAGGAAACATGGACAAGCAAAAAAGCATAACATCTCCAAAAGAACACAACAGTCCTCTACAGATAGATCCTAATCTGAAGGAAATTTATATAATGTCTGAAATAGAATTCAAAGATAACAATCTTAAGGAAACTCAATGAATTGCAAGTAAATACAGATAGCTTAAAGAAATGAGAAAAACAATAGGTGACATGAATGAGAAATTCATTAATGAGGTAGAGTTCATTAAAAAGAACCAAACAGAAACTTTGAAGCTGAAAACCTCAATCAATAAAATAAAAAATGCAGTTGAGCACTTCAGCAACAGAATAGACCAACCAGAGGAATGATTTACTGATCTGGAGGGCAAGAGTTTTGAAATAATCCAGACAAAAATAAAGATAAAAGAATTAAAAAGAATGAAGAAAGGCTATGCAAAATATTGGGTACCATTAAACAACCAAATATTTTTATTATGTGGATTCCCAAAAGAGAATAGAAGGAAAAAGGCATTGAGAACCTATTAAATGAAATAGTAGTTGAAAACCTCCCAAGTCTTGAAAGATATATGAACATCCAGATATAGAAGTTTAAAAGGACTACAAGCAGATTCAACCAATAAAAAGATCTTCTCCAAGGCATATGTAGTAAATTACCAAAAGTTAAGGACATGGGGGGAATTCTAAAGACAGTAAGAGAAAGTGCCAGCCGGCACCATGGCTCAATAGGCCAATCCTCCGCCTGCGGCACAAGCACACGGGGTTCTAGTCCCGGTCAGGGCTCTGGATTCTGTCCCGGTTGCTCCTCTTCCAGGCCAGCTCTCTGCTGTGGCCCGGGAGTGCAGTGGAGGATGGCCCAAGTGCTTGGGCTCTGCACCCTATGGGAAACCAGGAGAGGCATCTGGCTCCTGCCTTCGGATCGTGGTGCACAGGCTGCAGCACGCCGGTCACAGCGGCCATTGTGGGTGAACCAATGGCAAAAAGGAGGACCTTTCTCTCTGTCTCTCTCTCTCACTGTCCACTCTGCCTGTCTAAAAAATAAAAAAAAGAAAAAAAAAGAGAAAGTGTCATATTACATATAAAGGAAAACCAATTAGACTAACAGCAAATTTCTCATCAGAAACTCCAAAATAATAATGGGATGATATATTCAAGTGTCTTAAAAGAAAAAAAAAACTACCAAGAAGACTACTATATCCAGTGAAGACATCCTTTAGAAGTGAGGAAGAAATAATATATTTTCCAGATAAGCAAAAACAGGAATTCATCATCCCCAAATCAGCCTTAAAAGAAATTCTAAAGAGAGTCTTACAGAGGAAGTAAACATCATGAAAACATGTGACACTATAACATTCTTTTTCAATATAATATTGGAAGTACTAATAAGAGAAATTAGGTAAGAAAAGGAAATAAAGGGCATTGATATTGGAAAGAGAAAGTCAACATGCTTGCAGATGACAAGCTGTTGTATATGAAAATATCTAAACAGTTCTCCAAAAAGCTGTTAGAACTGATAAACCAATTCAGTAAAGTTGTAGATTACAAAATAAACATACAAAAATACCAAAAATACAGTAGTTTTCTTATACACCAATAATGAATTTGCCAAAATATATATCAGAAAAAAAATTCCATTCAAAAAAGCCATTCAAATGTTTAGAAACAAATTTAACCAAAGAAGGGAAAGATCTCTACAAGAAAGATTATAAACATTGATGAAAGAAATCATCAAGGACACAGAAAATGAAAATATATTCCTTTCTCATGGATTGTAAGAATTAAAATGTCTATACTCTTAAAGCATCTGCAGATTCAATGTAATCCTTATCAAAATACCAATATATTCATTACAGAACTAGAAGAAAATAATCCTAAAATTCAAGGTATCACAATACCTCCTTTCTAAGCATACTCAAAAGCTTTCATAATTAAAACAATATGGAAGTGCATAAAAATATACATATAGATCAATAGGAAGTATAGAGAGCCCAGAAATTAATTCATGTACATACAGTCAACTAATGTTTGACAAAAATACCCAGAAATACATTGAAGAAAGGTCTCTTCAATAAATGTTACTGCCCCTGGAGATATATAGAAGAATGAAATTGGATCCCTACCTCTCACCATTCACATTAATCAGTTCAAAATGGATCAAAGAATTAATTTTAAGGCCTCAGACTATGAACTTGATAGAAGAAAAAGTAGGGAAACACTTCAGACATTGGTGTAGATGATGACTTCTTGGATAAGGCCCCACAGCAAAACTAAACAAATGGGATTATATCAAACTCAGAAGTTTCTGTATAGCAAAGGATACAAATATAGTGAAGGGACATCTGACAGAATGAGAGAAAATTTTTGAAAACTACTTATTTGATAGAAGATTATTATCCAAAATGTATCAACAACTCAAAAAACTCCACAACAACAACAACAACAAAAACCAACCAGTTCAGTTAAGAAAAAGACAAAGGACCTGAATAGTTTTTCTATAAAAGAAATACAACTGGTCAACAAATATATTAAATAATATATGTTATTAAATATATTTTAAAATGCTCAATATGAGAAATTCAAATCAAAATCAAAATGAGAAATCTTACCCCTGTCTGAATGGCTATTATCCAAAAGACAGAAAATAACAAATGTTGGTGAGGATGTGAAGGAAGGGGAACTCTTATACACTGTGGGAATGAAAATTAGTAAAGCCACTATGGAAAACAGTATGGAGATTTCTTTAAAAACTAGAAATAGACTTGCCATATGATTCAGCAATCCCACTACTGGGATATACTCACTGTACCAAAGATATCTGTCCCATCATGTTTATAGCAGCACTGTCAATAATAGCCAATATGTAGAATCAACCAAGGTATCCACCATCTGGTAAATGGATAAAGAAAACATTATATATATATATATATATATACACACACACACACACACACACATAATGGAACATTGTTCAGCTATAAAAAAGAATGAAATTCTATCTTTTGTAGCAAAATAGTTGGAACTGGAGGCTATCATGTTGAGAGAAATAAACCAGACACAGAAAGACAAATTCTGCATGCTGTCCCTTACATGTGGAAGCTGAAATTAAAAAAAAAAAAAAAAAAAAGGCCATCATTGTAGCCCAACAGGTTAATCCATTGCTTGTGATGCCAGCATCCCATATCAGAGTGCTGGTTAAATCCTGGCTGCTCTACTTCCAATCCAGCTTCCTGCTAATGAGCCTGGGAAAGCATTGGAAGATGGCCCAAGGACTTGGGCTGCCTCCTCCCATATTGGAGAAAAGGTTGGAGTTCCAGGCTCCTGTTTTCAGCCTGGCGATTGAGGTCATTTAGGGAGTAAACCATTGGATGGGAGCTCACTCTCTTGCTCTTTCTATGTAACTGCCTTTCAAATAAATAAATAATTATTTAAACAGACTGTATCACAGGATTAAGCACCACAATTTGTATAAAAATAAAAATGGAAAAAAGAAAGTAGCATACACATAACACATATTATAGGCAAAGATAATATGCTAAGTGACTTTTGTCCTTTAGCAGTTGTCTGTAGGACTATAGTTGATGCCTCTGAAGTATATTTCTCTTGCCTTCCACCAGAAATTCAGTTGGTTACTTCTTTATCTGGTAGAGAGACCCAATTGTCCTGCTGTTTTTGTTTGCTTAGATTTGTTAGTTTTCCATTAACTTTTACTATTGGCCATTGAACTACTAGAGGGTGCTTCAGAGAATCCCAGGGATTCTACAAAACCCCCCTCATCCCCAGTGTGTAGCAGCAACTTAATTTCTCTTTGGTAATTGGAATCAATCACTCCAGCCAGTAGAGTAACACCTTATTTGCAGCCTGTTGGTTTAGCGATATAAACGGCCTGTAAAGATCAGATGGCAATCTTTCCTTCAAATGCAGTGGAATCAAATTCCATTTGATTTTGCCTTTGATGAATGCATTCCTCCGTTGGAGGCTAAGACTTCCAAACTAGCAAAGCTCTAAGTCCCCAGATAGAATAAGCAAACACCCATGATGTAATAGGGTCAGAACCCCTACATTTGCTTCCTTGTTCCCAGATCTATGCATCTGGCTATGGGGAAAACCATACCATGCAGTGACTATCTGCACCCTGCAAAACAGAACCCTCTCCTTTCAGAGTCTCAACAGGTGACATAATTGAGTCTTCAGTAAGGCATTCCATCTTCAATTAGGTCAGCTACTTCTAGGTTATGGAATATATGATAAGTTCAGTTAATTCCTTGAGTCTAGGCTCATTGCTGCACTTCCCATGCAATGAAATGAATTCTTTGATCAGACTCGGTACTGAGAAGAATGCCATGATGGTGAGCAAGGTATCTGTGAGTCCACACATAATGTAGATAATTCAAATCCACACCCAGAATATGTCTATGCCAGTGAGGATGTGTTTCTACCTACCCTTCTGAACAAAGCGAACAATGTCATAAACCTAACACTAGTTGAGTGATTGACTCCTACAAAATGGAGGCACCGTATAGTTGGTGGGTGGGTTTCAGTGTTATCTGCAGTTGGCAGCTTGGGTACTCAGTAATAGCATTAGCCAGGTCAAGTATTGGTGAGGGGAAGTCCAAGTTGCCCAGTCCAAACATATTTCCTATCCTTGCACCATAACCACTTTTCAGGAGTCCACTGAGCAATCACCAGGATGGCTGGGAAAAGAAGCTGACATCTACAGAGCATGTCATTTTATCCACCTGATAAGAACCTCCACTGCAGTGAATATTCTATGGTAGCATTGCATAGGACATACACCTTCACAATCTGTGACCATTCAGAGAAGGTTTGGAATAGAAAAAAGAAAATAGAAAAAGAAGAGTACCTATATGGGTGCCGGTTCAAGTCCTGGCTGCTCCACTTTTGATCCAGCTCTCTGCTATGGCCTGGGAAAACAGTGGCAGAAGGCTCAAGTGCTTGGGACCCTGCACCCACATGGGAGACCCAGAAGAATCTCCTGGCTCCTGGCTTCAGATCAATGCAGCTCCGGGCGTTGCGGTCATCTGGGAAGTGAACCAGGAGATAGAAGATCTCTCTGTCTCTTTCTGCCTCTCCTTCTCTGTGTAACTCTTTCAAATAAATTTAAAAAAAAAATTTTTTTTAAGGAAAGTTGGCTGCCAATGATGCAAAACAAATGTGGAAATCATAGATCAGGAAGAGCATATCCAAAGAGAGTGCAGAATTTGAAGTTTGGAAAATAACTGCAGAATATCTGGAGTGGGCTACTGAACAGAAGCACTTGGAAGACTGGAAAGGAGGTGCTAAGTGCAGAAAAACTAGGAAGATACCAAGATCATGAAGGCAGGGGAAATATTCTTTTAAGTTAATCTATTTAAGAGACAGATAGATACAAAGTCAGACAGGGAGTCTGCAACTGCTGGTCATCCCACAATGCTTGAGACAACCACAGGGCTGAAGCCAAGAGCTGGGAACTCAATGTGTCTCCCACTTGGGTAGCAGGAGCCAATCAGTGCTGCTTCCCAGTATCTGCATTTGCAGGAAGCTGGAGTCAAGAACTGAACCCAGGCACTCCACTGTGAGATGTGGGCATTTTAGCTACTAGGCTGAATGTCTGCTTTCTGGAGAGGGAAGTTTTTCTTTCTTTTTTTTTTTTTTTTTTTTTTAAGATGTTTATTTATTTGACAGGTAGAGTTACAGACAGTGAGAGAGAGAAAGGTCTTCCTTCCATTGGTTCACTTCCCCAAATGGCTGCAATGACTGGAACTGTGCCATTCCAAAGGCAGCAGCCAGGAGCCAGGAGCCAGGAGCCAGGAGCTTCCTCCGCGTCTCCCACACGGGTGCAGGGGCCCAAGCACCTGAGCCATCCTCCACTGCACTCCCAGGCCACAGTAGAGAGCTGGTCTGGAAGAGGAGCAACCAGGACTAAAACCCGGTGTCCATATGGAATGCCAGGGCCGCAGGCGGAGGATTAACCTAGTACGCTGAGGCGCCAGCCCCTTGGAGAGGGAAGTTTTTCTAAAAGTGGGATTTGTTGTGAGTGCTTTGTGCTCATGTACCATACTGAAGTGACTGATGTTGAATCCTGGCTCCGTTTCCAACTCTAACTTCCTGCTAATGCACACTGTGAGAGGCAGGAAGTGATGGCTCAAGTGGTGGCTTTCCCTGCCACCCACATGGGAGACACAGATTGAGAACCAGGCTCCTGGTTTAAACCTGGCCCAGTCCTGCTCTTGCAGGCAATTTGGAAGTGAACCAGTATGGATGAACTCTTTCTGTTTCTGTCTGCCTGCCTTTCAAGTAAATTAAAAATGAATAAAACAAAAGTGGAAAGGATAGAAAGAAAATTTTACATTATATTTGGCAAAGAGAGAGTCGCTGTTATCAGCAAAGAGAATAGCTTCAGGGGAGTGGTAGGAGCGAAGCTAAATTGCAGAGTGTTCACAATGAAGGCAAGGCAGGAAGGCTCAGGCAGTGAACCTGGCCCCCTCATTTAAAATAATAGCTTTGAAACAAAGTAGAACAGAGCCCTGCAAAGCATTCAGAAGAGAACATGGGTTTTTTTTTTTTAATTTTAAGATGAAGATTTAAACATCATAAAATATAAGGGAAAGCAGTTCTATGCAAAGAAGAAATTGATGGAAGAAATGAGATGATTGTATATCAGTGATAAGATTCCAGAAGAAGGAACGGGACCAGTGACTATAGCTGGAGGGTTGTCCACTCCTTTGAGTCCAAAGCAGAAGGGTAGAGGTGGGATGGGAGAAAATAAGACGTAATTATGTAGAAGATAGAGCTGGAAGTCAAACTGGTTATCTTTCCTAATTTAATTTTCCGATTACAAAGCAAAGCTTTATGATGATAGGAAGAACTGAGTTGGAGGGACAAGAAAATTGAAAAAAATTGAAACAATGGCAGAAAATGGAGAAGGGAAAAAATAAATATAATTTGGTTGTCTTTAAACCATCATTCAAATTTCACTTCCAACTACACATGCTCTCTGACCCTTCACTAATAAATATTGGTAACTTTCATGTACATAGAAATTATTAAAAAGCAGTTTCTCTTTAAACTTCCTATCCATTTTTAAAAAAGATTTATTATTTATTTATTTGGGAGGTAGAGTTACACACTGAGAGGGACAGAGAGGTCTTCCTTCTGCTGGTTCACTCACCAAATGGCTGCCACTGCAGGAGCTGAGATGATCCAAAACCAGGAGGCAGGAGCCTCCACCGGGTCTCCCACGTGGGTGCAGGGGCCCAAGGACTTGGGCCACCTTCCACTGCTTTTCCAGGCCACAGCAGAGAGCTGGATCAGAAGAGGAGCAGCCAGGACACGAATCGGTGCCCAAATGGGATGCAGGAACCTCAGGCAGAGGCTTAGCCACAGTGCCAGCCCCTATCATATACCTCTTAAATGGCACTTGTCATTTCCTGCTAAGTTCTTTTTTCATATATGTCTTTCTAGAATCAATTTGTGACTTTTTAGGAACAATCGTGTTTATATTCACTCATAAGCATCTACTACAGTGGGAACACATTTTTTCAAAAAAAAATTATTTTATTTATTTGAAATGCAGAGCAACATTGATGGAGGAATGGATCTTCCATCCACTGGTTCACTTTCCAGATGACCACAATGGCTGGGTTGGACCTGCCAAAGTTGGGAGTCAGGAATTCCATCCAGGAGCCCAAGTACTTGGGACATCTTCGCTGCTTTCCCAGGTGTATTAGCAGGGAGCTGGATCAAAAGCAGAAGAGCCGGGACTCACACTGCTCCCCTAAGGGATGCCAGAGTCACAGCAGCTTAACCTACTATGCCACATTGCTAGCATCTAGAGTAGGCAACACATTAAGAGTGTTACAACAAACCACTCTATACCAGTGGGGCAAATAACCCTTTCTGTCATTATTACCTCTCACACTTCTGGGGATCTTCCAAGTGGTTCACACTTAGGAACCTCCCTTGTGGCTGCAGTCAGGAAGTCAGGAATCTCCTCTTGCATCCATGGAGCCTGATGCTGGCTCTTACATCACTGGGCTGTCCTCCAAACGTGCCTTCTCCAGGTGGGTTGGGCTTCATCTGGGGATGGTGGCTGCATTCCAAGAGCAGTATGCTGAGAAAGAGTAAGGCAGATGCTCTATCTCCTTGTATGGCCTACCCTCTGAAATCATGCAGTCTTATTCTGTCATATTTCACTTATCAAACTAAGTTACTAATATCAGCCCACATTCAAGGGGAGAGGAATTTACCCTCACCTCTTGAAGTATCGAAGAAGTTGCAGACACTACACACAATAAATGCTAACCAGATGCCTGTTTTAAGTATTTATCACATTTTGAATAAGTCTCAGAAGGAACAACAACAACAAAAAAAATGAGAAGGGTACATAGTCTTAAAAGGTCTGAGTAGAAGCTGGTAATGATGCCTGAGTAAATTAACATATAAAATATGCTACCCATGGCTGTTTTGTTGTACAAACGAGTGTTTTCAATCTTCTTTTAAAATCTCTTTTTAGGAGATAAAATTGAACTATTGAGTCTAGGAAGGTATAATAGATCCATGTTCCTCCTACTTTCAAATGCATTCAAATTACATGGGAATATGGTTAAAATGCAGATTCTCATTCACAGATGGGGCCTGGCAGTCTGCATTTTAAAGAGTTTTAGATGATGCTACAGATGCTGGGATTTACAGGGCCACCTGTTGAATAGCAAATTAGAAGAAAGTAAGAGTGACTGCCTAGCTCCTGTTCTCTCTCTCTTCCCCATGTCAACAGAGATCTTTATGTGCTTACAAGTCCTTGGCCATCTGACAAAGTATGAGGTAAATTGGTTCTTCCACAAGATTTTGTAACTGGGATTAAAGGAAGACAGTAATTGTTCTCATGGTAGAAGAATGAGCTCTGAGGCTCTGCAGTCACCAGCCACACGACGCAAAAAGACAGTTTCCAGGAGGGATCAAGGCAGAATGAAAAGAATCCAGGTGACATTTCAACTCCTGAAGAGGTGCAGACCAAGCCCAGTCCCACAAGAATTTTACATGAGGTAACATAATACCTCTGCAGCGAATTCCCTGTTGGACTGCCTTTGCTCTACATGAGTTTTTATCATTTGAAACTTAAAAAGTTCCAACACTGGGAAAAGAGAGGTTTCTTCCTGAAGTACAGAATCCACTCTTTGGGAACCAGGATTATTATCCAGACTTTTGGGGTTTGGGAATGAGGATGTACCAAGCTATAGGCTATAGAGACATTAGAAAACTACAGCTAAAACAGGAAAAAAAAATCCAGGAAAGGCAAAAAAGTCTGGAGCGGAATTGTTGGATAACACTGAACAAAAATGAAAATAAACTGTCATACAAAAATGTTGTTTGCTAAGAACAGAAGTGAATTGTTCAATCTAGGAGAAGTAAAGCTAACACTCTTGAAGAAGCAAGCAGCCCTGAATAAAGGTTAAAGCAAGACAGGAAGGTAGGTAGGAAGGTAGGTTCCCACTCAGCGATGAACAAAACATTGGCCATGTCCTAAACAGGACATACTGCCTGCTGTAATGTACGAAATTTACCTCTACATCCTCATGCCACTGTCCCTGAACTTCTAGCACAGCCAGAACTGAATGTGGATCATATCCTAGGGCTGCCACAAGCAGACTCTATGACACAGGCAAATCTGAAAGTTTTCTTGACTCTGAGACCGCAAGCAGCATAGGTAAGACAAAAATGACAGTATAATCTTTCCATATTTGGAGTTCATGAATTTTTAATAGCCTATTTCTTGGTTACACCTCCATTTATATCAATCCCATTATCCTATAGTTGACAAAGTTAAATCTAGCCAAATAGCTTATAATACATTTCTACAACAATAAATTTTTGTACCCCTAACCCTCTCCTCTCTCCCTCTCCCCCCCCCAAAAAAAACCAGCCTGATTATCACCAAGATGTGTTGGCCATGAACTGAAAAGTTTTCCAATTTAAGCAGCAGGTACATGTGTAGGTAGGGAAAGTAGCAACAAAACCACTTTCTTTGTGGCAAATGCTCTGAAGTTTGAGATGTGACAATGAAACAATAAAGTTGATTCCAAGAAGCAAAAATGGACACAGATCTCATTATCTTATAGCCATACCTTATAGTATGCTTATAAAATATTTCTTAAGTTAAAACAGTGTCTACTACAGATGGGACTAATTTTGGTAAAATCCACCAAAAAACGTTCTATGTTAATACAATATTTGTTGTGAATATTTTGGAAACATGAGTCGAAATTTCAAATGATGATTCCCACAGTAACTGTAACTCTGCTATAGAACATACATAATGGAAGAAGTGTTATCAATATATACCATAGTAGAAAATACTCAGTAAGCAGAAACAAGCTAAGTTATGCTTGTCGTGGGAGTCATCATTTCCAAGCAGCTGAGAATATATAAAAATTGAAACCATAAATACATGCATTATTTTTGTTTTTAATTCTAATTTTCCTTGATCCATTGTAATCAGCTTTGCATGCAAACTACATTTTCCTTTCATAAGCTGCAAATGAATATCTTTTGTAATTTTAAAATCCATATCATTGGGTTTCTTGTTTGCCTTCAGATTGCCTTTGCAGGATGGTATCATTACACCTTGTCCCTCTCTGAAATGTCAGAACAGGTTTTCTGGGGTCCATTTATACACATCTTGTCTCCCTGAAGGATACCATTGAGGAGGAGAAAAAGAATACCGAGAAGAACAAGAGACACATTGAGTGGCTTAGAAAGCTAAAGAAGTGCTACATGAAGAGGGACACTATCACCGTTAACCCCCCCCCCCCCGCCCCAGGCATCTTCCCACACGGATATAATATCAGCATGTATTTCTGATTTCCAAAGTGTTTAGTCATAACATTATCTCATCAGATCCTCAGCACAACACTGACAAAGGCAAAAAAGCAAACATCTTCCCATTGTTTAGCTCACTGTGACTCCAGCAGAATGCATTTAATGATGTGCTTTTATGTAATCATTTAAACTCTAGGCCATTTAATTGCACTTAAAATATTCCCGTGCAGAGGATTTGCTTATTACTGAAGACAGAATATACCTTATGTGAAAAGATTATGGTCATGGGCTAAACATTTAACATATTTTAAGCCTTTTGCTTTAACTATATTCTGAAAATTCAATAATGAAACAGAGAAAAAATAATTGCCCTTTGAAGTCCTGCCTAGGCAAAATTAATCCTGTATATTATATCCAGTATTACTTTTCCCAGTTTGGTTTTAAGTAAGAAAGGCACCTTCTAACAACCTCGAAGGAGGAATTCTTTTACTTTCCAACAGTCTTTACCATCAGGGTATGCTTCATTTTATTCTAGCTAAATCACTTTGGCTCATGAAAATCATAATTCCTTTACTTCTCTAAATCGCTCCACTCCACCATAGTATTCACGACCTTAAGTAAGTGACTGGAAGATGACATGGCCAGTCTTTTTGTCTGTTAATGCTACTGTGACCAGGCTATTCAAATAGGTACAAAAAAATTCTCCCCTATACAATCAGATAAAGTTGTCTTGCTTCATTTACATGAGATCTTCAAAAAGTTGGTGGAAAATGCACATTATCTTCTTGTATGGTACACCAATAAAATAAATAATTCAAGTGAAGATTTAGAACTAATGAAAGCCTCTATCATTCGCTCTAAGGGAGATACACATATTCAATCCCTCGTCTGTGAAAAAGTCTGACCATTTTGCATGTTATTAAAGGACAATATTTTAAGTGCTAAAAGGAAAACAAATTATTTACTAAATGAATGAAGTTTCTACACCTTAAATGAAAAGTTTCTGTGGAAAAATAGAACACTATCTAGAGCAAAGGAAATTAACTCCATTGTTAATATAACCAGAGGCATTCATCCTGTAATCAATGTTAAAGTTTAAAAAAAAAAAAAGTACACTTTTTTAGCTTTGAATGATTAATGATTTTAAAACAAATAAAAGTCCATTTAGTTTTAAAAAAAAAGGGAAATTCTAAGTAATATTGCTTTTAGGAGCTTTTACGGTGGTGGATGAGTTGTTCTTGACGTTATCTACCATTATAAGACAGATAACCACAATGAATAAAGATGAACACATAAGTTCTTGGATAAAATAGGTAAAACACATATAAAGGTTTTCCTCGAGACAAGAGAACTGAGCATTCAGCCCTTTCCCTCTTCACATGCAAAAATTTAAAAAGAAATCACAATCAGAAAGCAGAATCTCAATAACATATCCATGGGAAAGATGTGAAGCTGGCTGTTAGGCTTAAAAATTGAAAGGACTTAATGCCTGTGTAACCCATTAGTCAAATGTGAAGACACGCAGCTCACTAGGCTAATCCTCCGCCTAGCGGCGCCGGCACACCGGGTTCTAGTCCCGGTTGGGGCGCCGGATTCTGTCCCGGTTGCCCCTCTTCCAGGCCAGCTCTCTGCTGTGGCCAGGGAGTGCAGTGGAGGATGGCCCAGGTGCTCGGGCCCTGCACCCCATGGGAGACCAGGAAAAGCACCTGGCTCCTGGCTCCTGGCTCCTGCCATCGGATCAGCGCGGTGCGCCGGCCGCAGCGTGCTGGCCGCGGCAGCCATTGGAGGGTGAACCAACGGCAAAAGGAAGACCTTTCTCTCTGTCTCTCTCTCTCACTGTCCACTCTGCCTGTCAAAAAAAAAAAAAAAAAAAAAAAATGTGAAGACAGAGTTAAGTAGGTCACCCATTTTATGGGATTGTTTTCAGGCAAAGTACAGATCCTGCCAGTAGGCAAGATTTATCTTAAACAAAATGAAATAAAAGTTTTTGCTGGATGTCTGTTTCAAGTGAGAAACTGAGAAGGAGGTGACCAATTCTGAAAGATTATAACACTTAGAAGTCAAAAATAATGGAGTATGCTTCTGTTGAGCAATCAATATGTAAAATTCCCAACAGCTACAAAGTCACAGATACACTGACCACAAACAAGGTACTGGAGACTGTCAGTGACATAGATTAAGAAATCAATTTGTTAATCTTATAATTAAAGCTACAGAATTCTATGAGTGACTGAAAGTAACATGTTAATAGGTTCATACATTAAAGAATCAATCAAAGGAAAACTTCGGGAACAAGGTCAGTAGTCCAACAGTCTAAGGCTGTCAAATAAAGGACTACACACTCATATAACAGGTATTATGCAGCAGTTCACAAGGCTTTCTTGAATATCCAATGAAAGGGAAACATTATATATAGTAAAATGAAAAAGGATAAATTATAAAAGTGGTTTCCTGTATGATCTCCACTTGGGGAAAATAAGTGCAAAATAAAAAGACCAGGAGGACACATAAGAAATTATTTAAAAAGTTGCTTCTATCAGAATTTCATGACTTCACAATTTTTTCTTTTTTGAATAAACAGGAGATATAGGGAAATTGTTATTCTAAAAAAATCAATCAGTACATTCCCATTTCTCTGCCCCAGTTGTTTTTATAACACACAAAATAAAGTTGAAATATAATTGGTGCCATTAAGCAACTGCATTAACAATTATTTTTCTTTTAGTTATCAACAGCTTATTTAAATTTAGTTTCTTTATAGTTTTCTCCAATTCATGCAAAGAGAATTGTATCTTTAAAATCATATGACAGAAATTTTTATCCAAGGTTGTAGTCTTCCATGCTTTCTTCTTCATCTATCAAAGTCTAAAAAATGAACTTCATATGCTTGATTCCATAAGTTTTGAAGAAAACCATGATAATGAGTGCCCATAATCCAAGAATAAAACCTCCAGGAGGATGCCAATCTTTCAACTTTGGTTTCTGCAAAACAAAAGTAACAATAGGTTTATAATTCAGTAATCAATAAAGCAAAAACTGATGAAAAAGAGAAATTTCACAGGTTGTGTTTTTAATTTAGCCAGATTATATGTACTAGAATAACAACAATGGTAAAGGCTTCCAACAGGATATATATCCCACAGGGTATATCAGATTCTAACAAAGATCCCCTTCAGCTTATATTTAGTTTTCTCAAAGGGGCCTTCTCTGACTATCCAATCCAACCAGATTTCCTTATTAAGTTACTCAGTAACTTAATCATCCTCCTCACTTTGAATTTGTATATTCATTTGTCAGTTTTATCCATCTCTCCTACTGGATTATAACTCTTTCAAATTCATCTTGTTATATCCCATAACTACCTGCCACAGTAGCAGGCACACAGGAGACATTCAATGTGTCATACCAAATAAATCAACAGAAAAACAAATGCTACCCAATTCCATTTATTAAATTACCCAACAAATATTTGTGTTAGGGGCCAGTGCCTTTGGCTGTATTTCTTCCTTGAGGCAGAATGCTCTTTATCCCATTTTGTCTATTCAAAAGTAACTAACTCAAATACCAACTCCTTTAGATTTTTTCAAGCTGTTATATTATTTTCTTGGCACCCGATATATAATTTCTTCTACTGTTACTACTAACATTGAATTTGTTTTACCATTCATATCCCTGAAAAATTCCTGGAGCCCAAGCCTGAGTCCATTTTGCATCCCTTATTTCACTCCTATCCCCCAGCCAAATGCCTTGAATGTTTTCTTATTCAGCAAGGACCCATCTTCTCCATTTCAACAGTTACATTGTGCTCCAGTATCTATAGACTTGTGACTATGATCTCTTTAGGAATATACTTACCGAATTATTGTTCAAGATTCTAAGAATATTTATGATAGAAGAATCATATTTGAAAGTAGATTAAAAAGAGAAACTGTAATCTAAAATTTGCTTTAGTTACTATGTCTAACTTTCATCAACGCAAAATTAACTTGTTAAACTAAAGAAAGCTACCTTAATATTTTAATTTTTTAGAAGGTTTATTTATTCATTTAAGAGGTAGAGTTACAGACAGAAAGACAGAGACAGAGAGAGAGGCCTTAAATCCACTGGCTTACTCCCCAAATGGCTGCAACAGCTGGAGCTGGGCCAATCCAAAGCCAGAGCCAGGAGCTTTTTCCAGGTCTCCCTATGGGTGCAGGGGCCCAAGCAGTTGGGTCATCTTTTGCTGATTTCCCAGGCCATCAGAAGGAAGCTGGATTGAGAGTAGAGCAGCCGGGACTCAATCCGGTGCCCATTGAGATGCTGGTGCTGCAGGTGAAGGCTTAACCTACTATTCCACAGCATCGGTCCCTAATATTTTAATTTGAATCATGATGCTAGAATTATAGGAACTTCTAATCAAATGCTTGATATGATCTGAGCTAACAATATCATTTGCCAAGGTTGTATTCTATCTTCATTTCTATACCCATTTTCACTCTCTACCTCTCCTCTTCCAGAAAACTCCCCCAAATATTGCTCCATTATATGAAATCTGATTTTCCTTGTGTTACTTCCCATCAAAGGTCTGCAATGGCTTCTGACTACACACATAATGATGATGATAAAAATTCCTGCTCTCTGTCTTACTAGATGATCAATTCAGCAGTTTTCAAACCAATTAAACAGCAAAACTCTTGGAAGTCTCAGTGCTCTTTGTACAACTGTGAAACGTTATGATTTAATTATAGTAAGAATTCCAGACTAACATTAAACATAGTTACATTAGAAATAAGTAATGTAAATACAAATATCACAAGCATATATCAATGAAAAAACAAGCAGGTGCACTAAACATGACTGACTACTACTGGGTTTTGTCCCACTTATTTTCTAATAGTGAATATAAAAGGGTCATACCAGGGGATTCCAATTCAATACCATCAAGGTGGCATGTACCAATGCCATCTCACTAGTCCAAGTGATCAATTTCTGTTCACAATTGATCATAATGATAGGAATAAGAACCAAAGGGATCACATAAACATGACTAGTGTCTGCGAATACTAGCTGATAGAATAAAAAAGGGAGAGAATGATCCAACATGGGAAGTGAGATACACAGCAGACCCGTAGAATGGCAGATGTCCTAAACAGCACTCTGGCCTCATAATCAGCCCTTAAGGCATGCGGATCTGGCTGAAAAGCCCATGAGACTATTTCAGGCATGGAAAGCCAAGACACTCTGGGGGGAAAAAAAAAAAAACTAAATGAAAGATCCCCGCGAGTGAGATCCCAGTGGAAAGAACGGGTCATCCAAGAAGGAGGTACCTTTCTCTGAAGGGAGGAGAGAACTTCCACTTTGACCATGGCCTTGTCTAAATATGATCAGAGTCGGTGAACTCAGGGGGCTTCCATAGCCTTGGCAGCTCATGACAAGAGCCTAGGGTGATTACTGATGCCATAAACAGGAGTGTCAATTTGTTAAGTCAACAACAGGAGTCACTGTGCACTTACTCCTCATGTAGGATCTCTGTCCTTAGTGTGCTGTACACTGAGATTTAATGCTATAACTAGTACTCAAAACAGTATTTTTCACTTTATGTTTCTGTGTGGGAGCAAACTGTTGAAATCTTTACTTAATGTATGTTAAACTGATCTTCTGTATATAAAGAGAAATGAAAATGAATCTTGATGTGAATGGAAGGGGAGAGGGAGTGGGAAAGGGGAGGGCTGCGGGTGGGAGGGACGTTATGGGGGGGGGAAGTCATTATAATCCATAAGCTGTACTTTGGAAATTTATATTCATTAAATAAAAGTAAAAAAAAAAAAAGAAAAGAAAAAACAAGCAGGTGCACTAAACATGACTGACTACTACTGGGTTTTGTCCCACTTATTTTCTAATAGTGATATAAAAGGGTCAAAAATAGCTTAAGCCTAAAAATTATTTTTCCACAAACTGGGAAAAGATCAGCACTATTTGTAACTAGTAGCAGCACACTGTTACAGGACACCCTGCAGATGTTCCCTGGGTGCCCAATTCATGAGCACTAACTTCCTGGTTAAGGACAAACGATTCTGACCCCCCCCACCCAACCCCTCCCCCCACAACTATATTATTACAGAAGAAAAGTGAAATAAATATTGTTAAAATGTGGCATTAAACTCTTAACTGGGGATAACAGGCTATAGACAATTGTTTTATAAATCAAATTAATGACCATCAGTGCTAAAAGAGTCCAGAAAGTGTTTAAACCAAGTTATATTAAAAAAAAAGTGAAGATCATTTAAGCTCTATTACTCATTAAAGTACATAACAATCAAGTAGTTAATATTAAGTCTCATTTCTACAGCTTTAGGAACTCAAGTTAACTTTCTGATGAAATGGATTCCCTGAGTTTGTAATTCTACCATTAGGTTTTAAACTTAACAGCCAGCAACACTTGCCAGAGATAAGACAACTAAGGAAAAAAACACCACCTTTGAAAGTAACTACCATTTCTCCAAAGATGCAGCAATTAGCCCTAGCCGCTTTGTGATCTGTCATTCCTAGGGCCAGCTGGCTGGCTCAGAGAATTCTGGAGGCACCACTTTCTGGTCCTTTAACCTCCTGAACAGGAGGCATGCATGCCACATCGAGACTACCAATGGCCAGATGAGGGTCAAAGATAAAAGCAAAGCACTAGAGCCGTAGTTCTCAACAGCAAACTTCATAAATAATAATGAAAGATTACACACACACACACACACACACATATACACACAATTATTTCACAACTATAATAGGATAGTATATTAATTCACATTATAATACTGCATAAGATAACAAAAGCAGCAGATCTTGGCCTTTCAAAAATGCTATTTGCAACTGTTGTGTTTCTTTGTTGTACACTCATCAGATCTTTTTTTGAGTACCAAAAAAAATACAAAATGCATTACTAATTAAACATAATTTAGACTCAGTTTAAGAGGGCATATGATTAGAATCCCCCAGTGCAGCTCTCCCTATCTTCTCATCACTGTCCATACAAAGGCAACAGCACCTCCACCAGAATTAAGCTAACCTCTGATGAGAAATCTGTTTCACTATCTGAGTTTCAGAAACAGGTCTAGAAACAAATTAACGGTGGACTCAATTAATTTTCTTTCTTTCTTTTTTTTTTTTTAGTAGCACTTAACACTTTTTAATTTGCAAAGGAGAGGGATGGAAGGAGTAAAGGAGGGAGGAAAAGAGGGAGAGAGAAATGACACTGGAGAGAGGAGAGAAGGGAGGGGAGAGAGAAAGGACACTGGAAAGAGGAGAGAAGGGAGAGGAGAGAGAGAGAGAAACTGAGAAAAATCTTCCATCCATTGGTTCACTTCTCAAACGTCCACAATAGCCAGGACTGGGCCAGGCTGAAGCCAGAAGCCCAGAACTCCATCTGGATCTCTCCTTGGGGTGGCATGGATTCTACTAGTTGGACCATCACCAGCTGCCTCCCTGGGTACACATTAGAAGAAAGTTTGAATTGGAAGTGGATCCAGGACTTAAATGCAGGCATCCCAAGTGGCATTTTAACCGCTGCGCCAAATGCCCACCCTGCAAAATCCAGTTTTCTGATTGGTACAACCCAGGCAGATGAATGCTCTGCTCTGTGAAACATAATAATTCTACCAGCTGAGAAGGGAACTTAACTTTGCTTTCTCTTTCCACCAGCTGTTTAAGAGACAATGTGTTTATGTAGTGGAAGGATGGCACTATGAGGCAGCCAGAGTTCTATTGGTCATTCCCACTCCCCAGTGGCACATCTCTTTGTACATTCATTAAATGCAATTCCCAGTAAAGCAGACAAGAGGAGGTTCAACATCCACAAGAAAAACTCTGCAGAGAACAAAAATACAGGAAAATCCTTCTAGTAGTTCATGTTAATAAATACAGGTTTTCCATATACTTCACCATTTTAAAGTGTTCCCAAACCAAACATACATGGCATAAGATGATCTTAGTTTAGTTCAACAAAGTCACATTTGATGACATCCTGCATCACTGGGAACCATAAAATAATCTGTTCCTCAGATATAGAGTTAGGAAGGCATTCAACCCTAAGAGGGAAGTGAGCAGCAGCCACACATTCTGCTGGCAGATAAGATAATCAACAGCGTCTAAAGAAAAAGGAAAAATAAACAAAGGAGAGAGAAATTACGTGCTGAAGAAGCAGAGGAGATATGTCTGAATAGAATTCAATAAGGAACCAAAAGATAATTTCAGAAAAAATGTATTTGGCATGAATTCTAACAAAGTTGAATAAGCAATGAAAATAAAATAATGGTATAAAGAGAAAAGGAAATAATACACCAAGACAACAGGATGAGTTAAAAAGGGATTTGGGTGACATTATTTTATGATAACAACATTAAAACTCCCATTGATGAGGAACATAGTGTTCTGAGCACACCTCCAAATCCTTCAGTCACCCAGTTGTGTTAGATTGGTGGCAAATTTGGCCCCAATTTTCCACACTTCCCTGTGTCCATACCCTTTGCAAGGCAGCTTTAAAACTATTTTCATCAAGAGGTGGAGTTTATTCCCCAACCCCTTAAATCAGCTTGTAGGACTTCCTTGGGCCAAGTCAATAATGCAAGTCAATAATGCCACAGTTCCAAGTGTAGTCTCAAGAGGCTCTGTGTACTTCCGCTTTCACTCAGACCTCTGCCACCACCATGAGAAAAAGCCCAAGCTTCTGGAGGAAGAAACATTATATGGGGAAGAACAGAAGTCCCCTCAGTCAAAAACCAGCCAACCTCCATGAGGCCACCTAACTCATTTAAAGCTGAACCCAAATGAGTTGCCAAGCTGCACAATAGGAGCTAAATAAATGGCTGATACTTTAAGTCATTTAGTTTTATAGTTTTTTTTTTTAATGCATCAAAAGCTATGGAATACATCCACTCAGGTGACAATCTATGTGGAAAGAAGAACCCTGATCCTTTTCATCATAGGAAAACAGAAACAGTTCCCATTTATACACTTAGAGCTTCAGGTTTCTCCAACATTATTATAAACAAGAATAGCATAAAGGGCAGCTGATCAAAAGCCTTGTCTACCATGAACTTCTGTGGGGTGGTAGAGGTCTGTCAAGATAATCTCACTGACCCTCCCAGAATGAAAAATCAAGCCCCACAAAGTAAGGACTTCACAGCCACCTGTCACACTCAACCTGTACTTGGCACTGGATTCTGATGAAGCTGTTAAAATAAAACTCCTGCTCTACTGTCCTCTAGAGGTCAGTTTTGTGAATGTTCTTTGTCACCTTCCTCACTTAAGAGAGCTGCAATGCTGCTCACCTTTAGCTCTCCCTTAAATTCTTCCTGGAAAGACAGACCTCACCTGTTACCAGGTCAGGAACTGCTGTGGGGGAATCTGGAGACAAACTCACCTAGCTTCCTGCTATACTTCCTGCTCCCCAGGACAATCTAGATTTGAAGTGGGCTCCTTTCCTTCTTAAATCTACCAATTAGTGGCAATCAAATGTTGCTCCCTGCTGGAGAGATGAACATCTTTCAAGAGCTTAATGCACTTTACCTATGGCATATTTGCAAAGCAGTTAATCTAATCTCAGATAATTAAGGATGGTTTATTTCAACAGTGATTTTCATTTAATAGAAAGTTGATCATAATTTCTCCTTAACCATGATTTTAACTTTTCTGTGACAAGAATTCTGTTAACATTACTATTAATATGGGAAATATGTCTGATCAGTCCAGGCATAACTCAAATTTTAAAGTATGCAAGTTAAAATGGGGCACATTTTAATATTTGAAAAACTTCAATCTTATTAACTATAAAAACAGCACACTGGGGTTAACATTGTAGCTTAGGGTGCAAAGCTCATATGAGCACCAGTTTGTTTACTGGCTGCTCAGCTTTCCATCCAGCTCTTTGCTAACGGCCTGAGAAGAGCAGCAGAAGACCGACCAATAACTTGGGCCCTGTCTCCCACATGGGAAACCCAGATGAAGCTCCTGGCTCCTGGCTTCAGTCTGGCTCAGCCCTGGCCATTGCAGCCTCTTGGGGAATGAACCAATGGATGGAAGACCTCTCTCTCTGCAACTCTGACTTTCAAATAAATAAATAAATCCTAAAAAACAAACAAACAAAACAACGTATTAACTAATGCTTCCTCTATAAAATAAAAACAGTAAATAATAAGTCAATTTTTCAGGAAAAGTAATCCAATGACATGTTCAAAGACTTTAAAATGTTTATTTCTTCTCATTCCTAGGATCTGTAACACTTTCATGATATACATTAAGAAATTCAGAAATGTCGACAAGGATTTTGTACAAAGATTTTCTTTTCAGGGTTATGTATATAATAAAAAACAGGAAACAATCTATATGTATAATAGTAGTATGGATAACAGTATATATCTGCATATTAATCAGTCAGAAAATGTATTTAGGGATAGGCATTGGGCCTAGAGTTAAGACACCAGTTAACACACCTGCGACCCACATTACAGTGTCTAGATTTGAGTCCCAGCTTTAAAGTTCCCAACTCCAACTCCCTGAAAGGCAGCAGGGAATAGCTCAATAGTTCCTGTCATCCATGTGGGAGAAAAAGATTGAGTTTTTGGTTCCTGGCTTCAGCCTAATCCAAGCTCTGTCTACTGTGGGTATTTGGGAGTAAATTATCAGATGGAACTGCCCTCCATTTGTCTGCCTTTCAAATTAAAAAAAAAAAGAAAGGTT